CCACGAAGGCATTCCTCCCCTTAGGCAGATAGCCCTCGAGGCTTTGCTACAATCAATCAGAGACACTCGACTTGAAGAAACCACAAAGCCACTACAAGAGATGTGGTTTTATACCCCCGGATGCCACAGTAACTTGAAGTAGCTGTTCTACAAGAAGGCTTAAGGAAATTGGACTGTTTGAGAGAAAACCAGTGGTTTGAGTTCCACTCGCTCCAGCTTTCAGAGGGGCCCATTTAATCTGGTGCCGTCATCATGTTCAATGGAGCCAAGATGACTGGGCTCGAGTATTGCTTGTTGACGTGACGTCCAGATATAGTCTGAACAGTGATTCTAGATGTGTTTTCATCTGAAGAGAGGAAGGAACACGCAACTTGCCATCCTTTGTTCGTGAAATATCCCGTTTCCGCCATCGGGGTTTAATGGTTTGGGCAGGAATCATGACAAATGGCTGCACCGAGCTGTATATATTTCAAGGAGGTTCTGTAACCGCTTGGAGATATGCGGACGAGGTAATGGAACCCCAAGTTAGACGGTTTAGGGGTGCTGTTGGCTTAGAGGCTTTTGCTAATGGATGACAATGCTTTGTCTCATCGAGCATATGTGGTGTCAGAATACTTGAAAACGGAAGACATCAATCTTGGCTTGCCCACCGTAGTCACCCTACTTGAACCCGATTGAACATATGTGAGATGCCTTAGGGCGCCGAATTTCAGCCTGCCAAATTCCTCCCCGGACCCTCCAGGAGCTGAAAAATGCACTTTTAGATGAAAGGCCTGCACTTCCACAAGACTTGATCAACACTTTGGTAAAGTCTATGAAATTAAGATGTGAGGTACGCACATCTGTCCGAGATTACCATAGATTATATTAAAATTTTTTTTTCCGAAAGAGATGATTTAATTTTTCCATCATTTTCCAGTTTCCATGAATTTGGTTTTAAATTCAATATTTTGCCATTAATCAACTGGCAAAAATTATAACTTATGTTAATTAATGTTTTTGTACAAATTTCTATTAATACATTTTTATTAAATATCAGCTACTTTTTTCTGTCATTATTCTTTAATTTTGATGACTAGTGTACAACAGTTACAATTACTAGGCACACGCCTTCAGTATAGTTAGGCTTAATACCTTCGTTCTTACAAAACTAAAGTGAAGTTATGGAATAACTTCAGACACAGGACGCTCAGAGCGCCAACTAACGGCAGGAGCTATCAACTAATAACATACAATTAATTCCCTGTACCATTCAGCAAACTATTTTAGAACCAGTGTTTGAAGAAAAATTCCAGCCTTATATGGAAAGAACATCGATAAAGATGAGTTTCATATGAACAAAACTCTAGTTACACATCTAAGTTAATTGCCGTTTATTTAGCAAATAAAGAACCAAAAACATACCATACCAAACTAAAAATATTTCATAAATTGGGATATAGAATATATCCCAATTTATGAAATACCTATAAAATCATCTTACGGATATCCTAAAAGTCCTAGGAACTTTTGTGCTAAAACGTTTTTGCTAAAACGAGCCTTAGGAAAATTTCATCCAAGAGTACTGAACAGATTTTGGAAACGACACAAGACGAAAGACATAAAATGACATGATGGTGGTAAGGAAATATTTACTCTCATTGAAAATTCAAGCTATATTCAAGGATCAAGCCTCTCAGATAGAAGGAAAACTGCTACAAGAAATACGCCCTTTATGCCAAAAAAATTAATTATCAAAATCATTTCCATAATTTGCGAAAATCATTCTATAATTAAAACTCCTTTCCTACGAGGGTCGCACGAGGAGAAATTTGTATTTAGCATAATGATGAACAAATTTTTTTTAATCCAATCGAAATCTATTAATATCAAATAATTAAATGAATTTAACCCTAATTTCGTTCATTATTGTACAAAACTTATTCAAACGTTCGTTGCATCTGACCAAAAATACTTTCGGTAAGAAAATTAATCTTAAAATCAGAGCAAGAGAAGAAAACATTTAGTACTTCGTTAACTTTTTAAATAACAAAATGTACATCAACGACATTTAAAAAAAAAGTACTAAATTCAAAAAATGCTTTAGATTAAGAAAATTAAAATACAAGTTCTACAACTTAATGGCCCCATTTAGGAAAACGTTCTTTAAAACTCTGGCCCCTCTTTTCTGTATGGGCCAAAGGTCTAAGATACAGGTCGAATTCTAGTTTGAGGGCAAAAGCATCGAGGCAAAGACATCGAGGAGAAAATAACGTAAAGTGAAAGCATCGTTGTACAAAATATCGTGGAAGAAAGGAAAACAGGGAGAAAACATCGCAGTTGTAAATATCGTGCTAGAAAATAAAACGGCTCAAAAGCATCGTAATTTCAAAACATCATAGAAAATGTCGTGGTAAAAAATAAAGCACCTACAAATCATCGCATGACGATAACATAGCAGACATAGTCTTTAAAAGTGGCAAATGCACATTCGCATATTGATTTGTGATCGCAAGAAAGAGGAATATTTATACTTCTATATTTCATACTTTTTGAAATAATAATATTTTGCTAAAAAAGGAAGAAGAAAAATGAAGATTCAAGAACTGAAAATGAACTAATTAATTAAACCGTTTTAATATGGGTAACCCCATGCAATTACTTATCTCCCCTTTTCTAATCTTTTCCAGCCTATATTTTTCATGAGAAACGACCACTACAACTTTAGAAAAGAGATTAACTATTAAAGGTCATAAGTTTAAAATCCTATCTGCCCATCTTTAATTTTCTAATTATTTTCCGCCCTTCAGTTTTTGAAGCTTAAGTTTCCTACTTGGTTTTTAGCAAAAATTAATAATTAATTCCAAAATATGAAATACAGAATATAGAAAATATTACTTATTCCTTCTTGCGCTTACAAATCATTATGCAAGTAGACATTTACCCATTTAAAAGCCTGAAAAATACATGTCTGCGATGATATAGTCATGTGATGATTGTATAGCTGGACTATTTTTTACCATGATATTTTCTACGATGATGCTTTAAAATTGCAATTTTTTAATCACGTTATTTTCGAAGACGACGTATTTTTATACTATGATTTTTAGAACTATGATATATTCTCCTTGGTTTCTTTTCTACCACGGTGTTTTGTACGACGATGTTTATACCCTGCGTGTTTCATTCGCGACGTTTTCGTCCGCGATGTTTTCGGCGGGCACCGAATTCTTTTATATCCAATTCAGTTTCCCTATATTAAAAGATGAACTTTTCTCTCTTTTGCAGCCTCATAAAATTTAATTCATTGTAATAAAGAAATGGAATTTTTCACAATTTGATTTAAGAAAAAAACAATTGCATAATTTATGCTGATAAAATTTTGGTCACTGAGAAATGTATTGCTTTTGATGTGCGTATTAAGATTCTATGAATGAATTATCCCTTAAATTAATTTCTTTTCATATAAATTTTAGAAATTAATTCAACTTTTACTATAGCTTTTTGAATTTTTGAAATGTAAGAGTTACTTCATTTATATATGCTCAAAAAACGTATTCACATATTTATGGACTTAGGTGATGAAAAATTCTTTTTAAAAAAATGTAAAAAGGAAACTGTTTTCGGATTCAATTCGGCAGAAGTAAGTGACTGAAAGTGAAATTTAATTGTATCAGCACTAAATCAGATTTTCATTTTATTTTTCAAATTATAAAAAAAACCTCATTATTGAATGAAAAAAAAGTGGAATTAAATAGTAATGCATATTTCTCAATAACATTTTGATACTTTTCAACAACAACAAGTTATAGTAACAGTCATGCCTTTAAAATGTCTTTCTTACAACTGTACACTTTGCTTATCTTTGGTGCCACATTTTATTCTTAAACTCTTACTGCACGATATCGTGCGCATGAAAAATAGAACTAATTTATAAAACGAAATTATCTAACAGAGTATAGACTACAATAATTTATATGTTACTTTCTTTTTTCAACTATTTAAACCAAAAAGGCTCGTTTTTAATAAATAACAGCAAGAGGTATTGATTTTATTGAAGAAAGAATAAGTGAAATTACGTTCATGATTTCCTGTTCGTCCGTATTTCAGAGAATTTTGCGCCTAGAATTCGTTATCTTCTTTTAAGAGCTTCTATTTTGCTTTTATGTCATACGTTTGGATAAGTAAATATTTCAAGTTGCCGAAAATTCGATTTTGATTTCTTTTTTCAAATTTTATATATCAATGCATTTATTCGAAAGTGCTTTTACTGCCATAAAATGCTTCTATTCAAAATTTAAAATGTACCAGCATAGGTCTTTCAGATACCATAAATTGAAATCTAGAAAATCAGATGGTAATTTTTTCTGTCTATCAAGCAAACAATACAGCACATTAAAATTGCCTTCAGGAATTTTTTTTTTGATATATTTAAATTATTTCGAAAAAGTACTTTTTGCAGCATTGTAAAATAGATTTAAACTGCCATTGTTTGTAACCGGATAGCAGTAAACTCAGCTTATTATATTTAAATTTTGTATTCAAAATTTTTTAAAATTAAAAGATAAAAAAGAAGAATTAAATATATATTACCTTTACATCACACGCTGAATCATAAAAATACTATTTCTTTACATCACCCATAAAAATACTATCTCAAGCCTTTAATCTGATTAATTTTAATGAGTATTAACCGCTTAATAATGAAATGGAAAACTAATGACAAAAATAACTACATTCGACCAAGCAAAATAAATAAAAAAAGTAAAGCCAATTGTCCTTCGGTTATTTATTTATTTTCAAGAAACCCCATAAAAAAGGTATTGCCCAAAGAAGGTGAGAGGAATTAAAAAATTCTTAGGTTTTTGGGAAAGTACTTCGTTTCCGTCTCTCCGAAAGCAGAATAACATTACACAAGGGAGACCGGGAGAGAGCATTTTGTTCCGTATGACCAACGCAGCGTAACAAAGGCGTTGGCCCTGTTTTTCCGAGAGCCAGGCACTGCTGCAACAAACTGAAGGTGGTTTGAGGAACGGGTGGAGAAAGTGTTGCCATTACAGCATTCGGTCCCCTTTAGTGAAGGTGCGCGTGACGGAACATGTGTTCTGAATGAAGCTGAGAACAAACAACGCAATGAGGAATAGTCTGTTTACTTGGATTACCGTGGTTGCGGTAAGTGAAAGTTGGCTTGAAGCGGGCCTTTTTAATGAATTTGTTTGCTTACTTTTTTTGCGAAGAATGGTTTGGATTATGTTTTTGTAGCTACTATGTGTTAAAAAATATTTTAATAATTTTTATAATTAAAATTCCTACGGAATTTAGCTGACATTAAATTGAAAATTGGAATAAAGTTAAATGGAAAATATTTGCTGAGATATTCAGAAAACTAAAGTAAAATATTTCCTGAATGTCTGAATATTTGTATTTTTATTCTAAGTTTGATATATTTCTAAACATTTCTAATATTCCTTAATTGTTAGTTAGATAGAAATAATTCTCTGCTCCTATTATATTTTAAAAAAGCAAAACTGAAATTTAAATTTAGATAAAAATCAAACCTTAACGTTAATTCTACAACAAAAGAAAAAATATATACTAAGTGTATTTTGAAGGAGATTGATAGAGATCTATCTTCTCCAAGGAGCAACATCTCGCCACTAATGCTTTTGTGTCCTGAAGAAGAGAGACCCGTGTGAGTCTCCCTCAGAATATATTTAAACAACAATTTATCTTAGGCTGAATTTTCCCTGATTCTATACTATCCATCCACGTCTAAAAACAAATTATTTTTTAACGGAATACGAAACAATCTATTAAAATTGATGAAGCATTTATCAAAGCTCAACAGATAAAAGACTGATTTGGACAACGCATATATTCTTTACATATTTCATAACTGGTGCTATGGACCATTATTTTGAAGTTATTAACTTTCAAAGGAAGAACAAATAAAAAGTATCGGTAAATTCTATATCCATAAAATACAATATTTAAATTCGAAAATGGACACCCAGTTTTGACCCGTAAAATCATCGTAGCCACAGATGTTTTTGATGCTCTACTTATAACAGAAATTTTCTAATTTTTTGTTTCGAATTGGCTTCGATGAAATGTCCTTTTTGTTTATTAGATTTGAAACGGAAAAGTAATCAAAAATCTTAAGAGTACAACAGAACTTTATCATACTCGAAATTTCATGCCTTCTGTCGCACGGCATTTTTGAGTTAGTAGAATATTTGCTCGTACAGAAAGAGAAAGTATCATAACATTTGTTATACCATACTTGAAATAATTAAAATATATTTCATTCAAAATATTTAGCTGTGTCATAATATATTTTTAAATATATTATGACACACTTATGTATGTATCATATGATGGGCGATATGTATAAATTACTGAATAAATTTAAATCTTGAGATCGATAAAAAAAACAAAAGAAATGTTTAATCATTACTGAAATTTAAATTAGCGGTTTATTATGCATTATATACATGTTTTTCAATTATTATAGATAAAGAAATTATTTATTTATAAGAACTATTTTCGTAATTAGTAAATGTTTAGTTCATCATCTAACAAGCTGAAAAATAATACTTTAAATTTATGTCTTCAAGTTAACTTTATGGCTTTAAGATCTCAGAAGGAAGAAAAATTTATCTTCTTTATAAGCATATTGAATAGAATATAACTGTTAACTGCAAGAGTGTGGTTTCATAGATTGCTAGAATAATGCCTGCAAAAAACATCGTGAACGCAGTCTCGTTGCAGGATTTTTTTGGGTTTGTTTTTTTGCTTGTTTACAGTTACAGTTACAGCATAGCTTACTATTACAGCAGAGCAATCGAAGCTATATACTTAAGCGATACCTTCTTGGAGGATTTTACAAGGGAAACTTGCTCCTGCTCATGTGTGCATGGCCAAAAACGCAAAACGCCTCATGCAGCCAGTTTGTTCACTATGATTCGAACAAAAGTCGAACTATCTTCTTATCGCACAGAAAATTCGATGGGGGACTGGGGGGTTGCAATGCTAAGTACAGTAACAGAGCTGGGAATTGCATATACTGAAACACTGGCGTATCGGAATATGAATTAACACTGGAATAGGAAAAAAAATTAAGTAAATCTTTTCAGTTTCAGAATATTTTGGTACGAAAAACACCACAACTGCGTATTTTTACAGATTTTCTGAACTTTTTAGAATTGTGTAGAATGCAAACTTCTACATTTTATAGCTGCTTTCTTTTGATGTTTCATACGAAAGTGTTTTCAAGTTGTTACTATACGTGTTTCTTCATTTCTTACAGCAATTTATGCCATTGAACAAGTTCTGTATGAGTTTATGTTAATCTCCTTTAAGTACAGAGGATGTTCATACATTTTGAAAACAATTTCGATCACATCTCACATAGCTTAGAGCCTTATCAAGTCTAAATCCGGCCAAGAAATTCCATTTCTTTATCCCAGTTACTTGAACAATTCAGTTCAGTGAAAGTTCGTCAAGACAAAGCAATAAGATATTCTTCGAAAAGTACCACTTCATTCCTTGAAACACTGAAGACTGATACAGATACTGCATATAGACTTTTTCAACTATTCTTGCGAAGTCCCCTGACGTTTCACCTATGGACTATTGTGCCTCTAGTCTCTTGAAAAGAGCTCTTTTTAAGCGCAAATCCGTCGCGATTGACGGGCACTGGAAGAATGGAAATCAGTATCCCTGGAATTTCACAAAAATCTTTCTATCATCGAAGTAGCACTTGAAATAGCTGATGAATACACATTTTATTAGAAAATATGTTAGACGCCTTTATTTGACTGCTATACATAATTTTCATAAAATGGCACTAAGTTTAATAATTTATTTTCAAAAGTTTCGTTTTGAGTTAGAAAAATAATAATTAATACAGAGTTGAAACATAAACCTGATTACCCCCAAAAAACAACAACTTGATTTAAAAGATAGCAGGTTGTAAGTTAGCTATATAAACGAAAACTTCCGTTTTGAACTTGTTAAGAGATGACGATCACGTTCATCACGATGAACTGCTGGATGATTTTTAATTTTTTCCTTTTCAAAGCACACTTCCTTCCTTAATTAAAATTGATATAATGTTTAATTCAAATAACAGGAATTTCGGCTGAGAAACGCTGTATCAAAAAGAGAAACAGAAGAGACTGTCAGCCTTTCGTTCCGGATAAAACCATTGATGATTATTATTACAACTGAACAGGCGCGCAAGCGGCTAAGTTTATAAATAAATAATCCATGCCTCTGATGAAGTGTACTTTCATCCTCATGATTTCCATAAAAGTTTTTTACGGCTAATTAAAATCTTACTTGAAAATATTTAGATCCATACTTAAACAACTTTTAATAAGAATTACATTAATGCAACACAGGGTGTTTGTAATCTATTCACTGAATAAAGATATGCTTTAAATAGTGCAGAATAAGAGATAAGGAAAAAAGACTTACTGAATATTATTTAACACTTTAAAGAATTTTGTATCAGTACACTTAAGCATGAGTACCGTTAGTTGCTGGAATACTGTAAAATCTGTTCTAGATTTCCCTTCCGACGTTATTGCGCGTTTGCAGAATTACTGTATTTGTTTTGTGGTTTTTTAATTCTTCGATACTACGTATCTCTGAATCATAAACTCTTCTTCAGGTAACTCCAGAAAAAAGTGTCAAATGATGTGACGTCCAGAAAACGGGGTGAGAAGGAATTTGGTCGACCTGCACCAATTCAACGATCTGGAAATATTTCATCCAAAACATCACGTACATGTATAGCCCAATGACAGGGAGTCCCATCCTGTTTAAAAAAAAAAAAAAAAAAAAAAAAAAAAACCTTGGCTACCTTTCTTCTAATTCCGGTACAGCAAGCAATGTCAAAATAACAAAGTTAAACGTCCGAATTAACTGATGACTTGAAGAAAAAGGAGGGACTAAATTCATTTAACCTCTCCTGAAACATGAAATGTTGCTTCGTCACTGAATAAAATTTTCTGAAGAAATTGATCGTCATTACTAATACAATCAAGAATGTTTCCCGAGAATTCCTTACGAACGACTCGATCATTAGGTTTGATTTGTTGAAAAATCTGCAATTTATACACAGTCAGTTTCGACCATTCAAGAACAATTTTGTGAAATAACCTGGAAATTTCTGTTTGTAGGTTGTACTGCGAATGAATTTATCGGGACTGCCCACAAACACATTTCGAATGGCGAAAATAATTTCATCGCTAACTCTTAATCTACCTGCAGAAAACATGACCGGTATCTTGAAAGCAATTTAATGATCTTCTGACTGATTATTTCGTTGGTGGAGGTTTATTAAATTCAGGTCGGAATTTGCCTTTGAAACTGTTTTCGGAGTTTTCGTTTCCCGTAACCACAGAACGCATACTGCTTTTTCACTGCATGGTGTCATTTTGTCTGTAAACAAACAAGTTCTGTGTTGCCATTCCCCAAAATTAGAATAAATGAAATTTCTTGAACTAAAGTTCATATTTATACAAATTATTTCTGGTCACTTCGTAAAATTACATTTCTATTTGGTTTTGTTATACAGGGATTAAATTATGGATACCTGTATATGTAAGTAAAATACAACAGAAACTCAATTATACTCTTATTTATACTGTGGTGTATATTGCGGACATTATTTGCTCTATAAGGTAATCCATAAAATACTTTTAGAAATTAAAATTTGTAATTTTATAATCGGAAATTAATATAGATTTTTAAAATATGCAGGCATTGACGCTACATTAGACAATCCAGGCTGTCGGTGGACTTAAGTACTGCAATTGTTATGGAGATCATCCAGCCAGCCAGTCACTAGTCTACACTGGTCTGCAAAAATTAAGGACGAAGTCAAAAAATTAGCATATCAGCTGAACGAAGAGGCAGAGCGGACAGAAAGACCAATCAGGAGATTAAGTAAGGTGATGTACGGTAGCACATGCGCAGATATGCAGGTAGACGTAATGGGGGGTGTCTGAGTAGTATAAAGCACGTTGTCGGTGTAAGATCAGTATTTCTGGCAAAGAGATTGCACGCCGTATAGCAGTTAAAATCACACCGAGTTGCTGCCTCAGCGAGAAATGGCGAATAATCAATCTGTTAGACGACATCTGGATGCTTTTACCCGAGGT